CAGCAGGAAGCAGGCTTGCTGAGGTACCGATGGGTAAGAAGGGTGGTGCTTCCAGCCTCGGAGGGAGGGGCGGACGTGGGACAAGGACGTCGGTACCCCTGGGACATACATGCCAGGTCGGAGCCATCTGGAGCTCAGAGGGGAGTGTTGGGTTGGGGCTGCGCGGGCGGGATGGTCGGCATAGAGATGATACTTGAACCCCGGGGGAGGGATGAGGGCCCCGAGGGCTGGACAGCCAGCCCCGCCTCCACCGCAGCCCTGGCTGAAACAGCTGCCCCAGCCCAGCGGTTCTCAAACACGGCGCACCTGGGGGCTTGTGGAAACACACTGGATACTCCCAGAGTTTCTGCTGGGGGTCTTGCGAGGGGCCGGACAACGCCCACTTCTAGCCAGTGTGCAGGGGATGCTGAGCCTCCAGTTCACTGCTCTGCTGGGGACTGGACATGCCTCCAGGCCCAAGCCCACCCCCGCTGACCAAGCCGAGTCACTCGCCCCCCAAGGTGAGCTGCACTCACGGTCCTGGCGGGTTGAGGGGCATCCTGAGCACGAGGCACACGGTGGAGGCCAGCGCCCGTGACACCCCGATGAGGGCGCATCCCTTCCGTGTGAAGCGCAGGAGGCGCCGAACGTTGGCTGACCGTGTGTGTTTGCTTGTCACGTGGAGCCGGGCGAGGAGAGGTCCCGAGAGGACACGCTGGACCCCTGCCGAGGTCAGCGCCCGAGCGGGGGGTCTGGGCCCCGAGCCCCACCTTCCCAGACTTGGGAAGCTCCTTGGCTTCCTCAGGGCAGGAGCATCCCTGGGCCCACCTCTGGTGTGAACCCACCCCCGGGGAACAGACCATCCCTCTGGGTTTGGCAACCCTGCAAGTTCCCAATCTCCAGGGAAGTCTCAGTCTTATGTCATTCTACCTACTTTCAATAAAGATGACGAAGTGAGTATGTAGCAAAGTGCAGTTTCACTGTTTCACCTTTGTGAGGCTTTTCATGCCCAAATACTTGGTTTGGGTGGCCTCCAGCCCCTCCCCGACCCACATCCTCTCCTCGTCCCATCCTTCATGTCGATGCTGCACCAACGGGGACGGTCACCTTCCCACAGAACCTGGTGCCTCGCCAGGTCCACCCAGAGGGCGCAGCAGAATTTCAGACTCTGCTGGGAGGAGGCCCTGGCCCACACCCAGGAGGCTGGACGGGAGGAGGGGCAGCCCCGGCAGGCGGCGGCCATGGATGTGGGTCCAAGCCCTTCCCCGGGACACGGGGCAAAGCGAGAGGAGGCCCAACCCCAGGCGTCTTACCTTCTCGAAGGGACAGTACTTGTACATCTTGATGGGGCTGGTGCAGATGAAGACATCCGTGCTGGGGGAGAGGCGGAGGGTGAGGCTGGGCGCCGGCGTCCCCCTGCCCGAGCCTGGCCCCCGATGGCCAGCGAGGCCCTGTTCCCCCCGGCCCCGGCCGCCGCCTGTGACCCCAGCCCTGGCCCAACACCAGCTGAGGGCCGGGCAAACCACAGGGCAGCCCCGTGCAGCCAACCATGCAGGTTGGCAGAGCTGAGGAATGGCCGTCCCTGGGACATGACAGGAAATGCCGAGAAACGGAGAGTAGCAGCCTGCGAGGAAGGCATTACAGGACCAGAGCCAGCTACTCAAGGGACGTACATCAGGGCCTCACACGGCGCAAAGGCAGGAAACCTACAAGCCGAGCCGGAGTCTCTAGGTCAAGGGTGCGGCCGGGCGGCTCGGGCTTCGCGCACTCCTGTGGACCCTGGTGGACCCTTGCGGTCTGTGCTGCACCAGCTCCTCCTGCGGCCCCGGGCCCGGCGCCCACCAACAGTGCCAGCTGGCCCCCTGTCCTCATCGAGCTGGCACGTGCCCCCGGAGCGGCACCTACTGTCTCATCGGGCCAAGCCCACGGGGGACGGGATCCCTGGAAAGCAGTCCCGAGAGGCCTACGTCAGACTGAGGCCCCGGGCAGAGGGCGTGGCGTCCTGGACACCCTGGGTCTCCGCCTGCTTCCTGTCTCCGTGGATTTGCCTGTTCTGGACATCTCATGTTAACGGAACCCCACGGTACATGGTCTCTTGTGACTGGCTTTTTTCATTCAGGGTCATGTTTTCAAGGGCACTGGAACTGTGGGCCTTTTTACTGCCCGGTAATGTCCCTCGTATAGATGCTCCATGTTCAGTTTACATGCTACCGCGGACGGACAGTGGGGCTCTTCCACCCGGGAACTGTGGCGCTGGGGACGCCCGTGCGCAGGGTCCGTGTGGACCTGTGTCTCCGTTTCTCTCGGGTGTGACTGCTGGGTTACAGGCGGCTCTGTATCCAACATCCTGAGGATGCGGTTTCCAAGGCAGCTGTGCCGGTTACAATCCCACCACCAGCGATAAGGATTCCAAGCTCTCTCCATCCTTGGCTACACCCACGATCGTCCATCTTCTTTACGACAGTCGTTCTAGTGGTGCAGAGTTTTCTACTGTGGTTCCGACTTATTTCCCTAAGGATGAATGATGTTGAGGCAAACTTTCACGCACTTAATTGCCATCTGTAGCTCTTCTTTGGAGAAATGCCAAGGAAATGCCAAACTCAGTGCCCAAGCCCATGTTTTTAAAACCTGAGTTAGATGACACCCTTCTCTCTTCAACCTCTTCCTCCATATCCCACCTGCCCCCCACTCACTGAAACCTCACCCTCCTGGTCCCATTTGCTACCCAAGTCAGCAAACCCCTTCCCCTCCCAGGGCCTGTACCCTTGCTCCCCGCCGCCCTTCACTACTCATTCCGATCCTACAGGTCTGACGTCAGATATCACCCCCTTGGAGAAGCATCTGCACCTCAAGTAGCCCCTCCCCGGTGACCTCTAACACGTCACCTTGCTCATTTCCTGCACAAAGCACAAGACACAGAGCCATCCACTTGATTAGCCATCCACTAGACCCCTCTCTCAGCCCAAACTCTGGGCATGGCTGAGCGTCAGAATCGCCCAGCCGCTAACAGCCAAAGTGGAAGTAAAGGACCAGTGGTGTGGTCTCAACCTGGACATCTCAGACTGGAACTTCTGCAAATGTGTTAATAGGGCAGCTGTGAAAAAGCGCTCCGGGTCAGAACCCACGAGAAGAAAGCTGCCTCCTTGGGACTTCCCCAGTGGTGCAGTGGTTAGGAATCCACCTGCCAATGCGGGGGACACAGGTTCGAGCCTTGATCTGGGAAGATCCCACATGCCGTGGAGCAACTAAGTCCATGAGCCACAACTACTGAGCCCACGCGCCACAACTACTGAAGCCCACGTGCCTAGAGCCCATGCTCCCCAAAAGCTACCTCAGTGAGAAGCCCGCGCACTGCAACCAAGAGTAGCCCCCGCTCGCCACAACTAGAGAAAGCCCACGCACAGCAACAAAGACCCAATGCAGCCAAAAATACAAATAAATTTAAAAAGAAAAAATAAAGAAAGCTTCCTCCTCTGCCGACCCCTGAAGAATCTCAATGCACGTCCACAAACTAAAAGCTCTGAGAAGTCCTACAGGAAAGACACCGCTCATCGATGGTTCCCATGCTGCTTTGGTCAAAGAACACTCTTCTTGGGACTTCCCTAGTGGTCCAGTGGTTAAGACTCCACACTCCCAATGCAGGGGGCCCGGGTTCGATCCCTGGTCAGGGAACTAAGATCCCACATGCCGCAGCTAAGACCCGGTGCAGCCAAAATAAATAAATAAAAATTAAAAAAATATTAAAAAAAAAAAAAAGAACACCCTTCTGTTGCACACCTATTAAGTCCTGCAGAATAGTAACGGTGGCAGCTAACATTTACACTGCACACATTTTACAGATGAAGAAACTGAAAGTTTAGAAACTTGCTGAGGGTTCGATTCTGGAGTAGCGGTCTAACTCCAGTTCAGACTGAGACTTAACCACCGTGCAATCCAGCTCCCCAGAATACAGTTGGTGAACGTGGCCCAGGAAATGAGGATCCAGACAAGAACAGAGCTTTTAAAAGCTTCGGTGCAAAAATACACATTCTTTGCCTCGCCAGGCTCTTGCTACAGGTGGGAGAAGTTATATATAGTACATTATTCTGGTGTAAATTAGGTTCAAATAATAGACCAGAGTAGAATACACTACTCTGCAGGGCCTGGACTCAAGTCTAAAGATAAATTACCAACCAAACCATCCTACAGGTCAACCCAAACTCTAAGCATTTTGTGTTTCTCTGATGCCTATTTATCATGTTAGAACTTTGAAAGCGGACAATGTTTGAAGGCAGTTACATGGCACAGTGAAAGCCAAATCATACCTTATGTTTGATTTGTCATCGTGGTTGCTAAATTCAAGCAAAATTGTGAGCAATAAAAGTTATACAAGCCTAGAAGTAAATCCTAACATCTGTGGCCTAACTTTCAACAAGGAAGCCAAGACCATTCAACAGAGGAAAGAAGAGTCTTTTCAACAAATGGTTCTGGGACAATTGGATTTTCCACACGACAAAGAAGGAAGTGGGACCCCCTTCCTCACACCATATGCAAAAATTAAAATGGATCAAAGACCTAAATATAAGAGCTTAAACTATAAAACTCTAAGAAGAAAACATAGGAGCAAATCTTTGTGACCTTGGATTAGGCAAAGGATCCTTACATACGGCACCAAAAACACAAATGACAAAAGGAAAACATAAATAAATTGAATTATATCAAAATAAAAACTTCGGGTTTCAAAGGACACCACCCAGAAAGTAAAACAACAATCCACAGAATGAGAGAGTACATCTGCAAGTCATATATCTCACAAGGGACTTGTTATCCAGAATATATAAAGCAGTCTTACCAGTTAACAATAACAAAAGAAGACAAATAAATTGAAAAAAAAATTAGCAAGGTATTTGAATAACCATTTATCCAGAAAAAGATATACAAATAGCTAATATGCACACCAAAAGATGCTTAACATCATTAGCCTTCAGAGAAATGCAAATTAAAACCACAATGAGATATCACTTCACACCCACTAGGATGGCTGGAATCAAAAAGACCATAGCGGGCTTCCCTGGTGGCGCAGTGGCTGGGAGTCCGCCTGCCGATGCAGGGGACGTGGGTTCGTGCCCCGGTCCGGGAGGATCCCACAGGCCGCGGAGCGGCTGGGCCCGTGAGCCATGGCCACTGGGCCTGCGCGTCCGGAGCCTGTGCTCCGCAGCGGGAGAGGCCACAACGGTGAGAGGCCCGCGGACCGCAAAAAACAGAAAAAAAAAAAAAAAAAGACCATAGCAAGGGCTGGGGAGGAGGAGTTGGATCCCTCAGACATTGCTACTGGGAATGTAAAATGGTGCAGCTGCTTTGAAAGTAGCTTGGATTCAGCATACGACCTAGCAGTTCCACTCCTTGGTACACATCTAAGAGAAATAAAAACATGCGACCACAAAAAAACCTTGTACATGAATGTTCACAGCAGCATTATTCTTCACATCTAAAAAGAAGAAACACCCAAGATCTATCAACTAAGGAACGGATGGACAGAACGTAGCATATCCACACAACGGAGAATCACTCAGCAGTGAAAAGGGACCAAGTGCTGATTCACTTTGCGACACACATGAACCCGGGAACGTCATACTGAGTGAGAGAAGCCAGTCACAGGAGGCAAAAGGTGTCGTAAGAAACGTATAGGAAATGTCCAGAATAGGCAAATCCAGAGACAGCAAGCCAACTGCAGTTGCCGAGGGCTGAGGG